CACAAGGTCCCATGTTCGATTCTCAATACCAAAAAAAAAAAAAAAAAAGAAAAAGAAAAAAAGAAAAAAAAATAAATAGATGAGATATAATCACATGTCTTTTATTTTCATCCCAAACTTCAATCTAATTACAAGTTGTCAGGGAGATAGGTCAGCAGACTAAGTGCCTGCTTAGGCAAGCACAGGGACCAGGGTTCAATCCCTGGCACAACATGCCACACTGGTCCTGGCCCTTCCCCCAGTGCTGAGCCAGTGATGGAGTCTGGGCATGGTGGTATGCACCTGTAGTCCCAGCTCTGGGGAGGCTGAAAACAGAAGAATCACTGTGAGTCCAATTTACATAGTGAGTCCCTGTATATCCTGTACACCCTGTCCTAAATACAGAAAAAAAAAAAAAAAAGACAAAACAAGAACACCCTCAAAAAACAGAGCTATACTATATCTAAACATCTTAGAAGATGGCAGAATAGAGTAACAACCTTCAATATAGCAATATACCAATGAAAGATACATCTGTAAAGTTTTCTTGAAAGCCATTCTTGGGGATGAGGATGCAACTCAGTGGCAGAGTGCATGCTTAGTCTATGGAGTTTCACCCAGGATTAAAAGTTCTTTTTGTATGTGTGTTGAGGATTGCACAGAGAGCCTCATGTCTACCATTAAGATATATTCTCTGTCCCTGAAAGAAGTTTTAATTGTCTAATTTCGTAACAAAATGACCAGACTGAAAATCAAGTAGAGAAGACACTGACTTTCTGTATCAAAGCAAGAAACTTTTTCTTAAAAACTGAGATTATTGTAGAAACCTAAATTCTGCATTGTATTCTGTGATTAATAACCTTTTCATTTACCAAAAGAAGCAACAGATTGTACAGTCAGACTTGGATCAAAACCTAACTACCAGTTATGTGATTTGAGAGGTTACTTAATCTCTCCTCTATCATCTGTAGAATGATATCATTTAAAAAAATTAACAAATGAAGTGCCAAGTACAGCTTGGTACCCAATCAGAACTATATCTCTTGGGCTGGGGAGATAGCTCAGTGGAAAAAGTGCTTGCCTGGCAAGTGCAAGGTCCTGAGTTCAATCCTTAGTACCACCAAAAAAAAAAAAAAAAAAAAAAAAAAAAAAGAACTATATGTATCGACCTGAAACAAACATGACCAGGTCTGCTTCAAAAGACACATGAACATCAATCAGGGCATATGCAAGTAATAATAAAGTAATCCTGCAGTTGTTTTGAAAAGTATAATTCATGTGACATAAGTTACCCTAAAAAAAAAAAAAAAAAGAAAACTTACTTATAATAAGGTAGTACTGGGTTCAATAACTTGCTGAGGGAGGGGAGTGAGAGGTAAAGAGAATTAAGAAGTCTTATATATGTGTACCAACTCTTCATGATGAATATAATCACTATGTACTGCAACTGTACTGATTAAAAAACTTTTTTTTATGCATTTTAGGTCTTCAGGGTATTCAGGGTCTCACTACTAGATTGAACTCGTAGTGATCGTCTGTTTACAGCCTCCCAGAGCTGGGATTACAGGCACGCTACCATGCCCAGTCTCCACTGCCCATCTCAGTGCACCCTAGTGGTGCGGCCGGCACAGCAGGCCCAGGGATCGAACCCCTGGCCCCTGAGTCTACTTGTAAGTGCTTTAATCCGCTATTTGGCCAGCCCAAAAATTAAAAAACTTAAAACAGATAATTTGTGGTCTGTGGTAGAAAAATAAAGAGGTCCTTAGAAGTAAAAAGCAAAGCAAAACAACTGAGAAAAATTGCTACAATAGTTTCATTACTATTACCATTTCCATTTGGTCAAAATTCTAAAATTATTGACTGGCTGCAGAATGAAAAGAACAAGAGAAGGAACTAATAGGTATTAATCACCATTTTTTTTGCGTGATTCCAATAAAATCTCTTGCACAGTACTGAAAACACTGCCCCTTTGAAGGCAGTATAACACAAATGAAATCAAGTATAGAAATGTTGGGCTCTCCTCAAGCTTCTGGTTCCTGTTGCAGTTTTTTTTTTTTTTTTTTTTTTTGTGGAACCGGGGATCAAACTCAGGCCTTTGCGCTTGCTAGGCAAGCGCTTATTCTACTGAGCCATCTCCTCAGCCCCCACAAATGAAATCAGATTCCTTCTGTTAAAAGCAGAAGATAGGACTAAGATGACAATTTTTAAGGCTCTCAAAGTGATTATAATCAGCTTCCAAATCTGACCAAACCCCACTGGTTAGAAATTCTCTGATGCTTTAACATTTTTCCCCCCATGGGCTTCCACTAAGTTCTAATAACCTCAGAATAGTTTAAAAAGAAGATAAATATTCAATTAGATGTAAGAAAAAGAAATCACTCTAGAAAATATAATCAAGGTAAAGATTATTTATTCTAAAAGGGCAGGGTAAAAACGCGCAGTTCCAGACAAGCAGGCTTATTCTTACTTCTGGTATGTCTCCAATTGACTTCACCAGTTTGCTCAGAAGAGTGATTATATAAGCTTGTCTGCAAGAAGCTGAATGGCAAGTCCTTGAAAGAGCTGATGAAACAAAGAGGACCTGATTTTTATCTTTCCTCACCTAAACTTTGTCTTAGTATGATGATATTAATTTTCAGATAAATCCGGAAACAATCCTAACCTTCACCATTTACACACTGTGTTTATCTCTTTAACTTTTACTATCAGTCCATCAGTGCAGGCAACTATTAAATATCCCTTTTCTTTTTAGATATATGGTTCTTTAGTACCTATAAGAGTACCTTAAAAAAAAAAAAAAAAAAAACCACACAATGTTTCATCACTAACAAGTACGCAGAGAAATTCACCTTTGACCTTGTTATTTGGCTCTAACACTCTTGGTGGCTGTTACAACTTGTATCTAAATATCCTCCCAAAGGTCTTCTCTTTCTGTCTGCTTTGTAAACCAGTCTGTTTCTCTCTCCCCCTCCTGCCCTCTTTCTTGTTTTTCTTCCTTTTCTCTATTAGGGCTTTATCACCCCAAAGTCTCATGCATACATAGGTGAGGCTTTTTCAGAGATGACTGGATCTAGAATGTGTGATGCTGGGATCAAGAGTGTGTAATTACTAAATTACTTCACTGATTGTTTTAGCATTCTATATAAGCTGGGTAGCCTAGAAAAAAAGGGGCAGAGAGGCTGGGGAGATAGCTCGGCAGTCTAAGTCCTGCCTGGCAAGTGCAAAGACCTGGGTTCATTTCCAGTACTGTATGCCATGCCAGCCCAGGAACCCTGGGGACACTAGCACTAAAACAGTGTGGTGGCGCATGCCTATAATCCCAGCACTGGGGAAGCTGAGACAGAAGGACCACTATGAGTCTGAGCTGTGTAATAAGACCCTGCACCAAATAAATAATAAATAAAAAAGGTTTTTTAAAAAGGGGGTGAGGCAGAAAAAAGATGCTAAAATTGCATGCTGCTTGCCTGCTGCCTTCTGCCTGCCCTGCTTTGCCATTAACTGTTTTTCCTCTGTGCTGCCCCTCTCCCATGCCACCTTGCCTTTGAGCCACCTAACTACGGACAATAGCCTTTACAAAGTGTGAGCTACAGAAACCTACCTTTCCTCTTTCAACTTTGGGCATTGGGTATTTTGTCTGAGGAAGAAGAAAAGTAACTAAGACAGTGGCAAAGAATTTGGTCAAATCATCCAAGAGTAGCTCAATTTGAGGATCATTTCTGACATCCTTGAATTTTCTGAGTAATCAAAGATACTGAAATTGGATTGCTTCCATGATAACTAAGGAGTATAATAATTTTAATAATTAAATTGTGTCATTGAGATCCATTACCTAAATACGTGCTTTTTTTTGATGGTGTTGGGGACTGAACACAGGGCATTGTGCATGTAAGGTAAGAGCTCTGTCATTGAGCCACACCCCCACTTCACTTTTAAATATAAACATCCTACAGCTAGGCATGGTCGTGCATGCCTGTAATCCCAGCATTTCAGAGGCTGAGGCAGAAGGACTGCCATGACTTTGTGGCTAGTCTGGATTATACAGCCAGACCTTGTGTCACAAAACCAAAAGGAAGACAAAACTGTATATATATGTAAACAACTCAGATAAATGAAGTGGAATGTCCTTATGTGCTAATTCGATCAATTAGAAAAATCTCAATGTTCCACACCACAATTGATATTAATTCTCTATTCTTCCTTTTTTTGTAGTGCTTTGCACTTCAAAGCTCTTTTGTGCAATTCAGTATTAAGTTAGTAGATAGTAAAATGCTTAAAGCAAGAATTACATATCCCAGTTTCTGTACAGTGTCTCCTGCACAGCAGGAAGTGAATAAATGTTTGTTGAATAAAACAGTAAACTTATTTCCCCTATGAAAAAGTTATAAAGGAAAGGAGTAATACAGAAGAGAGGTACTGTGGTGTGGGGTGGGGAGGAAACACTGGCTCTCATTGTTCATTGTACGCACCTGCTCACAGGAGTTCTTCCTCAAGAGCTGGCACTATGCTTCTTTTCTAGTGCCCACACTGCCTAGAACAGTGGTGGTCATCTGATATACAGGGGTAGCTTGGTTCATGAACTTCATTCTAATACATGCTTGTAATTCAGATGTAACCAGAATCGTGGAACAAATTCTGCAACAAGAAACCTGAAAAGAGTGAAGTTCGTGAACTGAGGTACCACTGTATATTTGTCATTTCGCTAAAATCCACACTGTTACTTGCTTTTGTGTCATAAATATAATTTTCATTAATTTTATGCTATTTTACAATGATCTAAAATTTAAAAAAATAAATGATGTAACATAAAATATACCAAAGTTTGAGTAAATAAGTTGCATTTAGTAGAAAACGCAAGAAGCAATGTTTTAGGGCAAGAGAAAACAAGAGCACTGTATTTAGATGTAAATCTTTAATGCTAAATCACTTACTTTTTTCACGTTTCAGTCTGCCATGGATTCTTCAAGGCTACTGCTAAAATCAAAGTATTGTAACTGAAAAGGAAAAATCATGGTAACACTAACCTGAAAGTTCGGACTAGATTTTTAAGTTGACTGTAAATATCTCCTAAGGTAATCTGAAGAGGACCCAAAAGTCCAGGCAATCTGAAAAAACAAAAAAAAAAATTACATTTAAAAAATATGACTTAATTATATAAAAGTATTCTTTGTGGGAGGCTACACTTATCTCTGAATTTTCCATAGGCAATAATGGTGAAGCAGCATGATGGTCAATAAACAGTAAAGCTAGATTATGACTAGTGAGAAGTCTTAAGGCATATTTCATAGTAAATCTATATTATACTTTTGTAAACTGCTATAGTATAAAGCAGTAAAATGCAAAAATCATTTGGCTGCTACCTGCAGTTTTCTTGCCTAAATAGCAATTTGACAATATATAAATATTTATTAAATTGTGGATACTTTTGACTCAATAGCTTTACTTTAAAAAAATTTACCCTACAGAAATAATCACATAAACAGTATTGAAGATGCTTGCTGCTGCGCATGGTGGTACACACTTATAATCTTACCTTCTTGGCTCAGTGAAGCAAGAAAATTTTAAGTTTCAATCCAGCCTAGAGAATTTAGGAAAACTATCTTAAAATTAAATTTAAAAAAGCTCTAGGGATGTTTCAGAATATGAATGCTTGCTGTGTAAACTTCTTTAGCAGTGAAAAACTAGAAACAAACATATATCAGTAGGAGGTTGGTTAAATTATGATATAGCAACTTAATAAAATTAATGTGAATCTATGTCTTTTGTGTGAAAAGATACAATAAATACAAAGTGAAAAATGCTGTTAATTTATTTTTATAAAAATAAATACTGATTGGTATATATTGCATATCAAATATATTTCATTTCTTCTAGATTTCTTCCTGTATCAGACAGAACCAAAGGGAATGAATATACATACATCATATATGTCAGGGATAAACAATATATTAATTGTTATTATCACTGAGTGATGGGATTACAGGTGATTTTTCACTTCATTTACCATTTTTTAACTGTTATATCTTCTCAAACAATGATTTAAAACATATTTCAAACACATTATGGAACCTTCAGGTATGTTCCAGAAGTAATATTTATTTCTAGATTTCAACATTTCAGTGTTTTGCTATTTTTACTTTAGTTTTCTTTTCTTTTTACTTGGAGTATTAAAAAGTGAAGTAGGGCCAGGGAGATGGCTCAGTAGAATAAGTACTTCCGTGGCAAGCACAAGGGTCTGAGTTCAATCCCCGGTTCCTCAAAAAAAAAAAAAAAAAAAATCTAAATCAAAAAGTGAAGTAAATCCCTGATGCCTATTTTAATTCATATATCTAAATAAAAATGCAATTTCTCCTATAACCACAAAAACATGCTACCTAGCCACAGAATTCCTTAATATGTCCTAATATCTAGTACATACTTAATTTCCTCTTAATTATTAAAGTCTTTTTACAATTGGTTTGTTCAAATCAGTGACCAAAATGTTTTACTTGGAACAGCTCCACTGCTTTCAATTTTTTCGTTTTCAACTTTGTTTTGTCTTTTTGCGACAAGAGTCTCACTATATAGTTCAGACTGCCCTTGAACTCACTATGTAGTCTAGACTATTTTCAAGTTTACAGTAATCCTCCTACCTCAACCTTCCAAGAGCTGAGATTATAGGTGTGTGCCACGATGCCCAGACTTTTTTTGGGATAGGGTTTTACTTTGTGTTTCAGGTTGGTTTTGAAATCATTATGTAGCAGTGTCTAAATTACTTTTCACTTGTTGCTGGGACAAAATACCCACAAGCAGAATGTAGGAAGAAAAGGCTGATCTAGCCCACAGTTTGTGGAGGTTTCAGTCTATGCTCGGAGGGGCATATGGCAGAGGGCAGCGTTCATGGCAGCAGAAAACAGTGAAGAGCAAAGGAAAGGGCAGCAGCTGCCGCTTCTAGCCAGCCTCTCTCCCTTCCTTATATTATAAACAAGCTACTCTGGGGCTGGGGGTAGAATTTACACAATGTCCATGCCCTCTTCTTGCACAGGATGAGGATTTTTACAAACTAAGAATCCTGGCTTCCTGCTGAGTCACTTAATTAAACTTCTAAACTTCTCAAGTTGACACAATGTATCAACCAGTATAAGCAGCTTAGGCTGGGGCTCCAAGGGATCCTCGTGCCCAAGTGCTGGGATCCAAGTGCTGGGAGTACTAGCATTTACCTCAATGCTTGGCTCCAAAAGGCTTTTTTTTGGTAGGGGATCTCCTATACAGCTCAGACTTGCAGTGATCCTAACCCAGTCTCCCCAGCCCTGGGATCACAGGGGTGGGCCACCACCCCTGGTTTTGGTGGCTGCCATGGCATGGGGCTAGTACAGTATGTGGTACAGGGGATCAAACCTGGGTTCTTGCACTTGCCAGATAGGTACTTAGACTGCTGAGCTATCTCTCCCCACCTCCCCTAAAGCTTTTATAAAGAACAACAATAAAAAAAAGTCACCATACTTAGTTTCCACTGCTTTTTGTTCTTTCTTTTGAGCTATTCCACCCCTTCTCAAATTCAGCTCTTGTGCCATTATCAATAATACAGTCTTGTTTCAGTCATGACCCAGAAGGTACAGGTTATTTCAAAGAATGCCTACATGGTCTCAAATTTAAAACTAAATACTTTTATTAACTAAAAAGTCTGGAAAACCATCTTCATATAAATTCATATCTATACTAAATACACACTGGTATGGATGCTCAATCCCAGCTTTCAAAAGCTAAAGTCAAGTCTGCTATCTTCTTGTATTCTAGACCTGATATGTGGTCACTTCATATTTTCTAAATGAATATTCAGGACTGGGGATATAGCTCAGCGGCATAAGCGCCTACCTGGCAAGCCCAAGGTCCTGAGTTCAATATCTGGTACCAAAAAAAAGGAACAGGATCTAAATGAATATTTCACAGAAACAAATGTACAAATATGAAGATCAGTTAAAAGGCAAAATTCGTGACAGATTTTATATGAAGAGTATAACTTAAAGCAGTCATTCAGTAAATATTAAACATATTCAAAATGTAAAAATCACAATAGTTCTTGATTCAGTTTTTATTATAGAACCAAATCAAGTCACAAAGCCAATCTAAAAAGATTTCAACTATGGCTTAGAAATAGTATTTTGAAGTAAAACATTTATATCTCCCATTATACAATACACTTTGATCAAATTATCATAGCTTCAGAAAATTTTATTTACAAACTGCTAAAAAATTAAGATGTTTAAGTTTTTAGCAGTTTGTAAATAAAATTGCTAAAAAATTAAACTCCTTAAACAATGAAATTTACAACTCCTTAAACAATGAAATACTTTTTCCATGCTTTCTGGAAGCTAAAGAAAAAAATGAAGATTGAAAAATTTAAGACTGTAGGGCATGGCAGCGCATGCCAGTAATCCCAACACTCAGGAGGATGAAGCAGAAGGATCACTGTGAGTTTGAGGCCAGCCTGGGCTACAAAGTGAGTTCAAAGCCAGGCTGAAACTGCAAAGTGAAACCCTGTCTCAAAAAGACAAATAAATAAATAAACAAAACAAAAATTAAGGTTGGGCCAGTGAGGTAGGTCAATAGAATAAGCGCCTGCCTGGTAAGCACAAGGTCCTGAGTTCAATCCCTGGTACTGCAAAATAAATAAATAAATAAATAAAAATTAAGGTAACGCTCATACTTCTGAAGAAAAGGTTTTCAAGTTCCTTTTCACAGAAAAATCAAAATAGCAATTTTTACATGTCATTTATGAGTGGACTATTTACAAGAACAATCACTTCTACCACAGGAAGCTAACACTAAAGTGTAAAGCTGAGTTGAGCAAAAACTCAAGTTGTTAAGTGTGAAATGGTTCTATAAATACGTTGGCAGAGTGAGTTAACAGACCTTTAAAACTTGTTAACAATCTCTTACTCACACATGAAACTGATGTGACACGTTTACCACAAATCAGTATTTAAATGGTCTGGCTTTGATATTTTTTTTCTCCTGACTTCACTGGACTACAAGTATAAGTGAGGTAGAGTAGTTTGGCTTTCTACTCTTATAATCACAACCTTCCTCCTTACAATGTTCTTCTGTGTCCTCTAGACAAAAATCTTTTATTTCCTGGGCACAATATAGTAAGAGTCTAAATTTTATAGATGAAGAAATCCATGTAAACTTTTCATAGTTTTCAAAATGTTCAAAATTCAAGGAGAACATTTCATCTTAAAATATTATAAAACTGGAATGATAATCACATACTTACACTTTACTCAATTTTTCAAGTACGATGCGTTTTCTAATCTGGTTCTGGGAACTTGAATCTATCAGCGGGAAGGTGGGATCATGCTGAAGCAAATTTTTCAATAAAGCACAATAGAACAATTAAGATGGCATTCTTCCTTTTATAAGCAGAACAAATATTAAACACTAAGGTTTATATCTTTGGCATTGTAGGAAAAAAATTAGATTTGAGTATCAGCTCAACCATTAGGCCTATGTGAATTTGCTCGGGTTATTTGCCCTCTTGAAAGTTAGTTTTCTCATCTGTGTAACAGGGACATTAATCATTCCTTCGTAAAATGAGCAAGTACAGGAGAGTTAAAGACCAAACTGAGCTTGGTGGAATAGCTGTGAATCCTTTTCTCCAGTTCTCCAATCATCTGTTTCTTCTATTGGCCTGAGTTTTCTCCATGCGCATCCACCACCGTTACCAAAGGATCTCAGAATTTCCTGCTGTCACTCTGTGTCTTCATTCTCTGTGCCTGTACCTCCCCACTTCCTTGTGCTTTGTTAAAAAAAAATTTTTTTTAAAGAAACAACAACAACAAAGTAAAGTAAATATACTGTAGGAAGTTCTGCTTCCACAAATGATAATTCAAATCAACTCTTTCTCTGGGAACTAAAAAATCTGGAGAACAAAAACCCCACATTTGTTTGAAAGCATCAGAAACTAACAAGGCAGCAAAGTACAATGGGCTGAGATTCTGGAGAAGGTACTTCAAGAGATGGCACTAATTCCAAGAGAGGCAATTTTGGTAAGAGAACCTGGTAGAGTTTTTCTAATAAACTGATTTTGTTTATAGAATGAATTTACTGATGTTTTATCCCAGAAGTGTAAAAATACTCAGATGAGGAAAGGCTGAAATTAAAGCCTGAATTAATAAAAAGCAATGTACCTGGCTGTCCTGAATCCATTAGTCAAGAAAGTGAAAGAGTCAAAATTATGTTTTTATCTACAAATATAACCTTTTGATTTCAGCCTCCTTGTCAGGTATTACTTGGTTTCTTAAGGCCACATATATCCACCAGTTATCTGATGAGCAGTAGAGGCAGAGCCTAACACAGATGGGGCTAGAAATCATTTACTATTGCGGACTCAGCAACGTTTACCAAAGTGCAAACAGATGAGTTGAAAGCAGAAACTGTAAACATCTCCTGGAAGAACTTATGGAGTGAAGTCATAATGATTTTAAAGGCTTTGTGAGGTTTGATAAACAAGTTAGGAAAATAACTCAGGCAATTTGGTGGAGAAAGATTTACTAACATGGGGGCTAGGGAGATAGCTTGGCAGACTAAGCACCTGCCTGGTGAGCAAAAGGACCCAAGTTTGATCCCTGTACTGCATGTCATGCCGGCCCCAGAACTGGCTGTGATAGTGCACACCTGTAATCCCAGTGCTAGGGAGACTGTGATAGGAGGATCACTATGAGTTTGAATTGTGCAGTGAGACTCTATACCAAATAAATAAATAGAAAAAAAAAATTTAAAGAAAGATTTACCAATATGTTTGATGGAGTGGAAACATAATAAAGGCTATTACAAAGTATACATAAGTAAGGAACTGAAGAACCTTTTGAGTAATCTACAGAGGAAGTGGAAGATGACCACACTGAAGCAATTAGCAATACTGCTCCTACTCAAATTTGCTCAAGTGTTTCAAATCACACAGGTATAGGAGACAAAATTACAAAATAAGATTCTTGGATGAAACACAGCATTAAAGTCACTTATATCATTGCTGAAGGATCACAACGTTTCCAAATGCTTTTAGAAAAATAAGCCTTCAACTATCAAAGATTCCCCAACAATTGACATCATCTGTTACCGACTTCCAATGATGCACATTATCAAGGCTTGATGATCCAGGAACACCTGAAGCAGATGACTTTCTGGACATGTCATCAGAAAGTGAACAGTAGCCTAACATTACATGATAATACCTACATCATTCACCCCACTTCAGATATCAGATAGGCCTGGTATTATCTCTCATTGTAAGAAAGGGGAATGCGGTAAAATATTTTAAGATTACATTCATACAACTTTTTGTATAGTTACAATTGTTCTGTTATTGTTGTCAATCTCTTACTGTGCGAATTTCTTAACTAAACTTACTGCCAGTGTGTATCAGTGATGGCAAACCTTTTAGAACTTAAAAATGATACAAACAGCCTGCTGAGACATGTGTGCTACCCCAGCTGCATGTATTTAGGAAAAAAATATACAGAATTTAGTACTCTCTCTAGCCTCAAGCATTTACTGGGAGTCATGGAGCACAGCCCTGAAAGAAGAGGGGACTACTATATGCATATAATGGAAAACTACAGCAATGAAAGAATGAGCTATAGCTACATACAACAACACAAATGACTCACAAACATGACACTGCATAGAATAAAATGGATACCTAGCAATATGTGGTGTTCAACTGGCAAAAAGAAATTTTTTATTATAATAGTCATTTATTTTTGAGTGATTAAGAACAGATGTTAGTGAACATCTAGTTTACTTGTAATGATTCGTCTTAACTATATGGGTATATTATGTGAATTTTCAATGAGCTGTTTTCTCACTTATATTTCAATGAAAAATTTTATTATGCAACAAAAAAATAAATTTCAAGTATTACTTTCTCACCTTAACTTATAAATAAAGAAATAATAAAAAGAGATACAAATGATAAGCTTATGGAGTTTGGTATGAGATACTACTGATTCTGTTACCTTAAGTTTTGAATGCTGTCTAATAATATAGTTAATGTGCATTCAATATGTGCCAGGTTAGGGAAAAAATTATTTAGGAATAACTTTCTTTTCCTTTCTTTTAGATAGGGTCTTTCTTCAGGCTGGCTTTGAACTGACTGTATAGCCCAAGCTGTCCTCAAACTCAAATGTGTGCTGATACTTCTGCTTCAGCCTGAGTGCTGGGATTACAAGTATATGCCATCATGCCCGGCTAAAAATTTCTAATGTTTTACTATATTTTCTCTTTCCTTCTTAAATCTTCAAATATATTTTTAAATTTAGAGCGATGCTTACTCAAAAGTCTTTCGTAGCAAAATTTTGTGGTAAAACAAAGTTACTACCTATTCTTCATATGAAATGATTTTGTTTTCTAGAGAGCACCTATCAATCACAACTGGGAACTAGAAATACTAAATGGTTTTTCCTAAATATTAGTGGCATACATTCAATTTCTACATATGACTATTATACACCAATTATACATCATCTATTGTGATAAGTACTTTATAAAATTTCTAAAACAACTGAGCAAGGGAAGCTATTAATAGTCCCATTTACAGATGAAGAAACCAACTTCTCATAAAATAAGTAAATCACAGAGCAGATACTCAAATCTAAATCTACCTGAATGCACTTTCCATTCTCTACATCCATTACTTTACCAAGTCTCCTTTATGTGTTATTTTTTTTTTTCTCTTTTTAAAATGTATTTGACAGAGTTTTACTACGCAGCTTGGACTTGTATTGACGCTCCTGTCTCAGCCTTCCCAGTGCTGGGATTACAGGTGTACACCACCATACCTGGTCTTGGTGGCTAGCTCTGCATGCCCAGGGTGGGCCAGCACAGCATACAGAACCAGGGCCTGAACCCAGGTCCTTGAACTTGCCTATGTAGGCGCTTAGACCACTGAGCTATCTCCGTGGTCCTGTTATTCCATTTCTAATATATTCCTTAATAAGCATGGTTGTAATATATGATCCAAATACTTTACTATTCACCAAGTAACTCTATTCAATTGCATAAAGTCACATCGGAAACAAAATATAAACAACTCAAAGTAGAAATCTGAAGAATCCCCAAAAACAATGAAGTTCACATATTACACAAACAAATGGGTTTAAAGAAAATATATTCCAGGGCTGGGGGAGACAGCTCAGCAGTCTAAGAGTCTGTCTGGCAAGCACAGGGACCCAGGTGCAATCCCTGGTACCACAGGCAGTGCTGGCCCAGGAATCCCAGGCACAGTGGCACATGTCTGTAATCCCAGTGCTGGAGAGATGAGACAGGAGGATCACTATAAGTTTGAGCTGCCTAGCGAGACCCTGTACCAAATAAATAAATAATTAAAAAATATGTACCACTTTTCTAATCTACTCTTCAAATCAGAGAAAATTATTATATATTACATACTTGTGAAAAGTTACTAAGAACAAACTTCAAAACAATTATAAAATAGTAATGTCAATAGTGAAGATGGTATTTTAAATCAAATAACATCACTATTTTCATGAAGCTACTAAAGAAGCTTCATGAAAATTTTACATTTGGAAAATTTACTCGTTTCAGCTTCAAGATTTGTCCTGATGAATTTTCCAAATGCTAGTACCCCAAAAATACTTATCATCAAGACATACCTCTTCTGAGTCCTGTGATACGGTAGTGACTTCACTCAAAACATACTGTCCTCTATAAAATTCCCTGATCCTCAGATTGAATGTTTCAGTTTCTTTTTTCAAGGATTCATAACTTGGAAGTGGCTTAATGGCTGTATCTGAGCCCCTGAAAGGTAAAGACTGATCCAGGCTATTCTGAGATCCCCTGAAGGCAAGAGAGTGATTATATGAATCGGAGTTTATGTCATCTTCATCAAGTTCTTCATTAACTAGACAGGCTGAAGAGGGTTTCAGACATACAGAAGCATACTTTTGGCCATACAAAAACCTCAAA